TTTTTTTTTTTTTTTTTTTTTTTTTTTTTTTTTTAAGCCAAAGGGATATGGTAGAAAGAATATTTAAGGAGAAATAAAAAACCTGGGTTCTGAGCTTGCCTTTGCTATACCAGTATTTTTACATGAGTAAGTCACTTAACCTCTCTAAGCATCCGTTTTCTCACCTGTAAAATGAGGCTAATAACCCCATTTATGGAATTACTGTATGGAATTATTTTGAGAATTAACTGAATCATGTGAAAAAGCTTTGTAAATAGAGAAAGCAGCATACAAATGTGAGATTGGTATCAGCTGCTCATGGGCATGCTGTTATATTTACAGTGGTTTTCTCATGTTCTTTTCCCTGCATTCCCACATTCTGCAGAGAGAGCAGAAAAGGTCCATGTTCTCGTGGACCTGGGGGAATTCTTGGTTTGATGTCTACCCTCTGCCCTCTTAACCTGAAACACTGCTCCTCCGAAGTGGAAATGATAGAAAGGGAAATCCCAGAAGACTTAATTGAAGCAAAGTCATATTTGAATCTAGTTTTTGTGCATCTTCAAAGTAGATATTTAATTATATGTTTAAATACTTGTACATTTTCTAGGTTCATGTATTTTAATAACACTATGAGAATATAAATTATAACATCACTATAAAATTTTTGAATATTTATATTGTCAACATTTTCTTGATATCCTTAGATTAATTCACTCGAGTGAGTTCAAACTATAATTGACCAGATAAGAAAATACCTGTCTCCCAAAATGTGAAGTAATCTATTTTTACTATTAAAATTTTAAATCTTGTATTATAATTTTTCATCAGTCCAAAATGGCATAAACTCAAAAACTGAATATCTAACAGCAGTTTAACGTATAGGTCACCTGTGCCTACTTAAAAAGTTAAATAGCTCAAATATAAAATATGATTTAACTTTCAGTGGACACCTTTTGTAATACTAAATAAGAGTAATATTTGGGCTAAGATTCAGAGTAAAATTAAGAAATCAGAAGAAACAAATGGGAAGGCAGGGCCCTGCAAAGTTATGACCAAGGTTGCACATGAGCGGAAGCAAGCCTAGAACTCTGGTTCTCCTTACACCTTGGTCCTGGTTCTTTCCATGACCATGCTGTGTTGCGTGTGTATATGTTTGTGTGTGTGGTGAAGAAAAGGGGAAATGTGTTCTAAATCCACAAAATACTAAAATTGGGCTAAGTCATTTTGAGGTTATAGAGGAGCAATTTCTGGTAAAACAGTTTTAAAATAAACAATGACTACAAAGATCTGAGTTCTTATATAAGATTGCCAAACGATATAACCTTAGCCAGATATCTTTTATCCAGATATATGTATATATATATATTATGTATACATATATATGGATATTATACATAGAGAGATATAAAATAGCTGACCTATTTTCTTACATCATTATAGAGAATATGGATAAATAATGCCAAAGTAGTAAAAATATATGTTCCAGGCAAAACATTTTGACTAAGTGTCTTAGAAGTCATATATGAACCAGATATAACTGAAATTATTTAATTTAATTTAAAATTAATTTTAATTTAAATCTATCTAAATTAAAAAAAATTTTTAACTACTGAATGATGTAGCTAATTACTAAATATTTTAAATAAATGTGATAAAAAATGAAATGGGAAACTATCCAATGGTATGATACACTCGTCCCTGGCAGAAATTGCTCATCTTGAGTGGAATTAACACCTTTAGTGCATGTGGTGATGTGATGGTTCATTAAATGGTAAGCTTAAGCCAAAATGATTATGTAACCAGAGTGCTTTTAAATGTGGCCTTTGTATACATAATAGTAGCAAACAAGATTTCTTGGGCCTGGAAACTTGAGAGTTTAGTCTAGGTTTCCCAAAGCCGCAAAGTACTTCATGATTTTTGTGTGTGGCAACCAAAGCCATCTTTATTATTAAGATAATTTTACCAATCTATTTATACAACTTCACATCATCAAAAAACTGAATCTGTGGATTAATAAAATAATTTTAAGAGTGCTTTTGTCAGATTTTATATTGCCCTTGGTTCGATTAATTACAAAGTTTCCATTGACTTCAAAAAGTATACTATAGTTGAATAATTTCCTTAGGTCTGACTTAGTGAGCAGGATTTGAAAGACTAAAGGCCCATTTTATAAGCTAGCTCATTTTTCCCAAGTAACTGCCTGGAGAGATTTAGTTGGAATTGCAAAGGAAACGTGTAATCTTCAAGGAAAAAATAAAAAAGCAAGACTATAAAGGCTTTAAATTTAGATTCTTTATATTTTAATATAGAATACATTCCCAACCAGAAGCTAACTCCTGGAAATTCTACAGCTGATAAAGAGCTATCTCTGCTTCAGAATCTTTCTAAATCCAGTGTTTTCACTAAACTTTAAGAGCGACCAATCTTCACATGATCTTAAAATAACTGACAGACTGTTCTCCTAAACCTGAATGAGCTGCTGCATGACTTGGTATTTCTATAATCTTAATAACCAATGAAAGTAGACACATGAGTGATGAGCTATGACAATCTCTATCAATCACTACACTATCTAGCCCGCTCACTACACATAATCACGATATAGAATAAATAAAAAAATTTTTTAAGATTTTAAAAATTAGTGTTCTTTATTGTTATCTTATCTGGGTAAATTTTTTGTCTTTTTTTAAAATAGTGCCTAAAACATTGTGACATTCTGTGACTTCTAATCGATTGTTATTATGTTGAATTAATCCTATTAAATTTGGGTTCCATATACATGGTTCTAATTTATATATTCCATGGAATAAATATGTTTTGCTACAATCATATCTTGTCATTTTTTTTTAAAGAATGACAGCCAATAGAACAAAGAGATGGTATAAACTTTTTGAAGTGTGTTATTAGTGTTATTTTATTTTAAATAATGAATAAAAGAATGAGAATGAGAACTATGATTTTCACAAGATTGTTACATTATCCATTTTTAATGGTGCTTTTATTTTTTTTATTTTTTAAGGTGTCATTCCTTCCATGACTGCTTTTTTTTATTTTTTTCCTTTTTTAAATATATCTTTATTGATTTCAGAGAGAGGAAGGGAGAGGGAGAGAGAGAGAGGGAAACATCAATGATGAGAGAGTCATTGATCGGCTGCAGCCCGAAACCTGGGCATGTGCCCTGACCGGGAATCGAACCCCGATCTCTTGGATCCTAGGTCGATGCTCAACCGCTGAACCACGCCAGCTGGGCTAGTGGTGCTTTCAAAAAAGAAGCAACTATTTAACTGCAATTAAATGCACATGTGTGTATTCACAAGCGAAGTACAAATAAGAATCAATTGAACATCTGAAATTTCTTATATGTAACGTAATTCCCTAGTGGACGGTGGGGTAGAACCTCATAACCAAATATTAATATATATGCAGCCAAATATATGAATATTCACGTTAAAAAAGACAAAATCTAATGAGTTCATGTCAGATGTTTTTGCTGCCAAATGAATTATCTAAAGAATTTTAGGCTCTAGCCAGTTTGGCTCAGTGGTTAGAGTGTTGGCCTGCAGACCGAAGGGTCCCAGGTTCGATTCCGGCCAAGGGCACATACCTCGGTTACAGGCTCAATTCCCAGCCCTGGTCAAGGCGAGTTTGGGGGGCAACCAATCTCTCTCTCTCCCACTCTCTGTGAAAAGCAATGGAAAAAAGAGCCTTAGGTAAGGATTAAAAAACAAAACAATTTTAGGCTTTCAGGGCTTTCTGGATTGCAGAATTGTAGAAAAGGGATCGTGGTCACATACTATACCTTACCAGATAATTCAGATTTTGACTTTCTAGTTGTTTCATCTTTATCATGCTTCAGCCTTGCACACAGTAGGAGCTTATTAAACTTTGAATTGAACTGTTAAATCACACACAAAAAACTTTCAAACCTTCTGCATGTATAACCAGTTACACATGTAAAATACAGGTTGGGGCAAAAGTACATTTACAGTTGTGAGTGTGCAAAACAGAGTTTATTCTTGTATCATTACTTATTAATTATTGCATTATTTTCCATACTAACAATTGTAAAGCTACTTTTGCCCCACCCTGCATTTGCAACAGCATAAGCACTTGATAGATGTCATCTTTTAGTTTTGTTTTACTTTTAGTCTTACTCTTATAACCACCAAGTTGCCAATAAGCCAGTTTTAATCCCCATGGTGTGCCAAAAGCTAATTTATTTTTATTTTTATGTTGTTTTATAGATATCCCCTTTTTTCCCCCATTGATCTCTTCCATCCCTCATTCACCCCACCTCCAGGCCTTCCCCATACCAATGTCTGTGTCCATAGATTATGCACATAAGCATATAAATTCTTTGATTACTCTCTCCCCATCCACTCCCCCACCCCTGCCTTCCCACTGAGATCCCTCAGTCTGTTCCATGCTTCTATGTCTCTGGATCTACTCTGTTCATCAGTTTATTTTGTTTATTATATTCCACATATGAATGAGATCATGTGGTACTTGTCTTTCTCTGCCTGGCTTATTTCGCTTAGCATAATACTCTCCAGGTCCATCCATGCTGTGCCAAAGGCTAAGAGATCCTTCTTTTTTATAGCTGCGTAGTATTCCAAGGTGTGAATGTCCACAGCTTTTTTATCCACTCATCTACTGATGAGCACTGGGGCTGTTTCCAGATCTTAGCTATTGTAAATTATGCTGCTAGGAACAGAAGGGTGCATAAG